GGAGCGCGGGCCCATGTCACGGTGAGTGAGCTTGAACCAAGCCTTGGCGAATGCATCGGCGAATTGATCCGGGTTCTCGAGGAAGCGTCTCGAAATCTTCTCGTACTCGGGGTCAAAGCGGAGCGACAAGTCGGTCGTCAACATAGTGGGAAGCTGCTTCTTGCTGGAATCGAAGGCATGGGGAATAATGGGCTCGGCATTCTTGGCCACCCACTGATTGGCACCAGCGGGACTCTTGGTAAGCTCCCAGTCGAACTTGAACAGGTACTCGAAGTACTTGTTGCTCCACTTGGTGGGAGTTGCAGTCCAGGTGACCTCTAGACCACTGGTGATGGTGTCGGCACCCTTGCCAGTACCGTGCTTGTTGGCCCAGCCAAAACCCTGGGCCTCGAGACCGGAGGCCTCGGGCTCGGCACCAACGTTGCTGTCGGGAGCAGCGCCGTGGGTCTTGCCGAAAGTATGACCACCAGCGATGAGAGCAACCGTCTCCTCGTCGTTCATAGCCATGCGTCCAAAGGTGACGCGAATGTCTCTGGCAGCAGCAACCGGGTCGGGGTTACCATCGGGGCCCTCAGGGTTCACGTAAATGAGACCCATGTGGGCAGCACCAAGTGGTGACTCCAAATCGCGGGTGTGAATGTCTGACTTGCTCTTGGTGTCCTGGGAGCCATCGAGGACGCCCTGCTCGGACTTGCCTTCGTGACCGTGGGAGTAACGGACGTCGTTGCCGAGCCATGTGGTTTCGCCACCCCAGTAAACGGACTCATCAGCCTCCCAGGTGTCGGGACGTCCGCCAGAGAATCCAGCGGTCTGGAAGCCCATTGACTCGAGAGCAACGTTTCCGGCCAATATCATGAGATCAGCCCAAGAGATCTTGTTACCGTACTTTTGCTTGATGGGCCACAACAGGCGGCGGGCCTTGTCAAGACTGACATTGTCGGGCCAACTGTTGAGAGGGGCGAAACGTTGCTGACCCTGTGAGGAGCGACCATTAGCATCTCGTCTGCTAAGAGAGATCCGTTGGGTTTGCCGGAGCAACTTACCTCACCACCACCGCCGCGACCGTCGTGGACACGGTAGGTGCCGGCGCTGTGCCATGCCATACGGATGAAGAGACCTCCGTAGTGGCCAAAGTCGGCGGGCCACCAATCCTGAGAATCGGTCATCAGAGCTGTCAGGTCCTTCTTGACGCCATCGTAGTCAAGGGTCTTGAAGGCAGAGACGTAGTCAAAGTCACCACCTAACGGGTTGGTGACAGGAGTGTGCTGACGAAGGATGTTGAGCTTGAGGGAATCGGGCCACCAGTCGCGGTTCTTGGTGCCGCCACCTCCCGTGTTCATGGTCCGAATGAAGGGACACTTTTCCTCGGCCATGGTGTCTGATTATGTGTATTGTTTCTTTGGTATGTGTTTCGATGTGTTGCCTGGTAGAAGGTGGATTGATGTTTCTTTTGAACCGTCAATCGTCGGATTGTGTAGAAGGAGAGAAGGCAAAAAAGAAAAGAGTTCGCTCCCAGGAATCCTCGGCAAGTGGAAGGAGGCGACCCCGCGTTTTATGCCATGGCCCCCCTCCCCCTCACTCATTGCATGACCAATGGGCCGAATCTTGTTGGCGGTTGAGGGGTGGGTGGTCAAGGGCCGAGTACATAGTAAGAACCACTGTGCACTTTCATCTCTTTCCTATTAATGCTGCACTAACGTGTGACAGCAGGAACTATGCCGTAGTCATGTTGGTGTGGGTGGGGGTTCTTGAGATTTGGGCGGAAGGCGTTCAGGGTAGCTCGGGGCGGAATGACAAATGATGGGAGGCGACGGCCATGTTTTCTCAAGGGTCTTTTGGTCTTTGGTTGTTCGAGAACGCCCGACGAACGGCTAGTCGTTGTCTCGTTGTCTCATTGCCCCCGCCAGTTTGGTCACGTAGAAATCTAGGCTTTGCAGCGCGATACCGGCTCGGAGATTCGAGATGTGCTCGAGGGGGCGCGGGCCAGTTGGACGCTGTGAGGGGCCGAGGGAAGTTATCGCGGTGTTAGGGAACGGGTAAAGCAGGCTCATGTAGCTATGACGCGGACATCCAAATGTTTGTCGGCGGCCCCTAGCAAAGGTCGGAGAGATTGCCACATTGGTGCGTTAGCCTCACAGTCTGTAAAAGATGCAACAATACCGTGAGCTTGCGTGACCAGCATGGAACAGTAGCTTGGGCCGATTCAATATGCCGTGCGGGGAGGATCCATCGACCCATTCGACAGCTGCCGCTTGCTCTCCGAGCCGGGGAAGAGGCAGTAGGTGTTCAGTACTGCCAAAGAGCATGTAAGAGAACAGAGATGGGATGTGGCAGAGTTTGGACTGTCTGTAGCTGCAGGTCAAGGTGTACGCAGTATGGAGCGCGGGAATGTGAGGTGAGGACCCTTGCGTCCAATTGAAACAGAGGTGATAAGCAGCGGATAGCCATGCCGCCATGCGAAATGTGTGGTACGGGGTACTGCTCCATACAATACCTTACCACAACTACATGGAACATTGGGGTAAGGTGCGTTAGACAGTGACATCGGAACCCAGCGGAATTGAATGTTCGCTGTTGTGTTCCGTTCGCTCCGACCCGGCTGTGCTCCATCGCTTTACCCCGTTTTGCTCCATTTATCCCCCATTTATGCGACCAAGCGGGGCTGTGTGGTTCAGGAAGGAACTCCCATTGCGTCTGTTGTCTGTTCTTTCCCATAGACTGCAGTTGTCCTTCACGGCTTCCGTGAGGAGAATTGAATTGGACGTCTCCTGGTTGGCTGAGACAACCCCGCAAATCGCCTTTTCCTCAGCTGTTTTTGCTGCTCTTCCGAAGCTCCTTCCTTCCCGTTCCCCTCCACTGATGCTACGCGGTACGTGCATGTACGCGCCTACCCTATTAAATCACCTCACTTTACCTTACCTTACATAAGGTACCTTATACAGAATACGGACCTCGGTACGTAACTACCACAGCTATATTTACCCAACTGCAGGCAAAACGGCCAGGGGAGGAGCTTCTTATAAAGTCCACGACGTCACACCCACCCCACTTTGCGACCGCTGCCTCCCACCGCGAAAAGTCGCGGAAAAGTCGAGACCATTGGCTGGGCACTCGCACGCACTGTGAATATCAACGCTAAGTGGAAGAGGAAGTAGACCAAGCCGCCGGACAGCACCTCAAAGGAAACCGCGTCGGGTTGTTGGGGTGACGATCATGGCTAAAATCGCCGGTTTTCGGACCTTCTTGATAATCACTTTGATGGTGTGTAGTGCACACAGAGCACAAGGCCAAGGCTTTGTGTCCAGGGTAACGATATCCCAGTAACACACCCACAACCCTCCATTGGTCGCCGTTCCCCGATATCAATATGAAGATATCTTTTCTTACGACGCCTTCCATGGTCCAGGGTCAGGTCTATGTTCGCCGATCAGAAGAAAACGCCCATTCTAGCATTCGCTACGTAGGACATTGGACTCGGGTGACATGCGACCTCAAACTCTCATTGCCATTGAGACCATCGTCAGCCAATACTGCCCCCGAGCTACAACCTTTCCCCCACACTCTTGGCAATTCCGGGATTCGAGCGAAACATCACCGACCCAGTTTCTCGTCGCCCATCCACTCTCTTCCCAAGTTCCCACCCCCGGCCCGTCTGCCAGACCCGTTTCTGTTTCCAGTGTCTTCATTCCCACCGCCGGTGGGCGGGCCCCATCTCACACGTGTCGGCCCCGGTTTTCGTCAATGGTTGATCTCATCGACTTGATTTGAAATAAAAGAGCGATTCTCGAATTCTCCAGCTCCACAGCATGTGACTAACTTCCCAGGCTGATAGTGAGAGTCGCCAAGGTTCTCAATTGGAATTCACGATGGGTTTCCAGATTGACGACGAAATTTGGTGCAATGGACCCCTGCGAATGTGAGCGATGTCGGCGCCGTTGTATTAATAATTCTTCAGCATGCATGTGAGTCAAAGAGGCAATTTCTTCATCGTCGAGGGCTTGCATGTGTCGACGCCGACTGCAGAGCTGGAGCCTTGACGCAAACCAGATCATTCGGAGCCGATGGCTCGCAGCTCGGGTGAAGCTAATATCGGAAAGTAAGATTTGGAGCCGAAACCTACCTGGACTTCAGTCAAACCTAGCTTGTTGTTGCTTGTATCGTCTCGAATCTCGATGCTGATGGAGAGGGAGTCGCAGTAAGCTCTGGCCTTCTGGCGCAGACACAGAATGACTGGGGACATGAGCGTTCCGTTCCACCTTGGGCAACTCAACCCGATCAACTAATTAACTGGACAACTCAGACAAACAACTATCAAATCGTTTCTCTCAACTAGTTCAACTTGAGACTCAAAGTTGAGTTGATTACGAGTGCAGCGCCTGCGGGCATTGGATTCAATACCACGGTCCTCATAGGAGCTTGGTGCTTACGCAAAGAGGGACATAGGCAGGTACGTAACGACGTAGAAATAAAACGCAGCTCAAAAGTTCCAGATTCCCATTGCTACTCTGATCATTATGTCAAAATTTTGCCTTTCTTATTATCGTTGTTATCATCCCTCTTCTTTGGTCTTTGTTTATTCAGCGGAAAATACACCTTAAGAAGCCGAAGGAAGCTATGGATATGGGGTCCGTTCCCGTCTTAACTCTTATTTTCGACGCAGTTAGTTGAGTGATTAACTTCGCGGGCTTATTTAAGAACAAAATTAAGAAGAGCTGGCTACCTCTAAAGTCAGTAGCACAACTAGCTAGTTGGGAGGAAGAATTGGGGAGGCTTCTGAGCCCTCCGAAGTAGAAGTAGGTGAATAGAAGGGCGGTGGCAAACCCGATTCGACATGCTCTGAGCCCGAAGCTCAGAATTGATAGGTTCTGAAGCGACATCGACGCCACAAGCGGAAGAACCTCATACTATCACACGAACGTCCTTATTGGGAGGTCAACTTTGACAGAAACTGTCGTCAAAGCCCAATCATCCGGCTGCCTGATGAGCTGCTGCTACCCATAATGGATGGTCTTGAGCCAGTCGATCTTTACATGGTACGCCAAGCATCATTTACCTTTTGGCATATTTATCAGGGAAAAGAAGTCGAGAAGTTCTGGCGTTCAGAAGCCACTTCCCGGGCACGCAGGACAGGTAATTTCGTGAAAGCAGCCACCGTCTTGCGAGCCAGACAGCACGCTTTTTGCTCCCAGGGTCTGACAAGGAGACTTTCGCGTGCCACCTATCGTCATAAATATTACCAATACACTAAGCAGGATGAAATGCATTGTTCTCGCTGTGAAGTGCCCTACAGGCACTTGGTGTTCTCTGCCGAATAGCGCAAGAAGAGCCGAGATGTTCGTCAGTGTATCGCGCACGACGGGTTCAAATGGCTTTGTTCTCATCTTACGGTGCCGTTTCTCTTGGGTCTGGGATAAGACACGTTCGAAGCAAGCCGATTCAGATGAAGCCTATCAAATCAGATATAACTACAATGTATTCCTTGCGGCCAAAGGTTGCCGCGAGTGTGAAGGCATAGACTTCCAAGACACCACCACCCTGCATCACAAAGGGGCTGCTTCTCGGTGGATCTCTCTGCCTCCGACAATAGCACTCTACGCATTACCAAGGATCTTTGATTGGCTATGCAGAGTGATGATCACGTGGGAGTTGCCGTTATTTAGGATAGTCGAAAACGAAGCCATCACCGTGGGCTTCATTACGCAGAAGCTGAAGGAATTTCAAACCAAGTACGGCAATGTCCTTTGCTCTCACTTGTGCCGACACGGAATCACCTCTCAACTACTCAGGGCTCTCGACCCCCGTCACTGCGGCTATCTAGGCGGAAACAGCCGGATTGGGCGTCTCGTTGCCTGCAACGAGGCCCGATGGGGGACTCGAGACTGGAGAAGAGCGGGAGGTCGAGAGAGTAGTGCGGAGCTCCTGCCACATAGCGAACACGAAGTTCGCTGTAGGATATGCCCGAGTTCGTACCTATGGGGAAGAGTTGGTCGCTGGATATTTCTATCCCGCTTTTCTTCAGATCTCATCATGGTGACTGATGAGAAGCCTTCGTCTGTTACTAGTCCGTTAGCCAAGTTGCTGGATCCTGAGTCTTACAGGCCGGACTCGGATGACACAACCAAGCATCTCTTCTGGTGCAAAGACGCAAACTGTAGAAACGGTAAAGACTGGGCTGAATACACCAAAGTACTCTGACGAGTTCCAAGTATTCGGGGAGGGGTAGGGTGTTTACTCTAGTGCTTCCAGGTTTCCAAGATAGGGGTACCAGGGTATTCCCAAGAGTCTCGAGAGTCTCGAGATGAGTGGTGTAAAGGTCCACAGTGGAGAACAAATTCATGAGACGAGACGCACTACGTTTATGGCCCTGATAGGTAGAGAGTAAATTCAAGTTTTGTCAGTTGCGGTGTCATATGGACTTTCACTAGAATCGGCGCAATGCCAAAGCTCAAACGAGAAAGAACATAAGTGGATGTGATGTAGGTTGGATTTGCTAGCCTGCGGTTGATTTAACCAACAGCCCGGTTCCTTCTATTCCTTTCCCATTCCATTAAGCGTTCGCTATCTAGTAGTTGGCGTTTTCCGGTCCTGCTCACCCAGTTCCACGGAATTCTCCGCCCTCTTGGTCGAGGCTACGTTTGAAACCCGGAACTAGCAACAATACGCAGAAAGGCGGTAGGTAGAATATACACCGACAGACAGAGGACAAAACGGAAGACAGAATACAAGACGGAAGACAGAATACAAGACGGCAGGAATAATACAAGATGACAGGTGGAATACGTGGATGAGGCGGTGAGTGGAATACGTGAGTGAATGTCAGCCTCTACTGCTAAGTCTTGCTTTAGCCATTCGTTAGCACTAAGTGAACGTCTTGGTCTTCCTTAGTTTTTATAATTGCGAGAATGGCGATAAAACATACGGTTCTTAATATGGGTACACGGTTCTTAGTGCGAATGCATCTGACTGGTTCGAATGCATATCGTATATCGGCATCTCGCCTAAATGACATTTTGATGCGCTATCATCAAAAACCAGCCTAATGACATATGTTCACTAATGATTAACGTAGTTTCTGGTCTCGAAAAGGGAGCATACCGCTTGCAGAGCCAACGATCTCGTCGTCAAGTTCATCTGGTATTGGCTGATTCAGCTAGAACATGCATCGTTCGTCCCATTAGTTCGTCCTAGCTTACTTCCAATGCCAATCGGAAGCATAGAACTGCCCTCAATGCGCTTTTTCCACATCCATTTATATTGCTGGTACTTAGGTATTGGAAGACCAGTGCGCCAATGTTCTGTATAGGTGTGTCTACTCAAGATAAGGTAGGTGAGATTAATTGAAATAGCATAGATACTCGAGCAAAAGTGGAAGCCTTCTTGAGGTAGTCGATGACATAAGTTCATGTACACTGCAAGGTTTCGTTAACATAAGGACACATGATGTTAGCCAATCAGCTTAATTCCGATTCCTTAATTACTCGTTCAACTTACCGGCTTGACTCATAGACGATGCTGCTGTGCCGTCGAAACAAGAGTACATGTAAGCCTCGGGCGTAATCCGTCCGCGACAAAGCCAAGGCTCAATAAGGAACGACTGTGCCTTGATCTCACTCACCCTGCGGAAGATTCCGGCGACAGTGGGCGATAGACGGAACGGGGTCGATTGGTTTTCGGACACGACACAGCCTGTCCGGAGAAAGTCTCCATGCCGGGCAGCTGCATATGTGGGATGGACTTTGGTTCAACCCCTCATGAAGATCATCATACAGTCAGCATAGAAGAAAGACTTCACTGGTCATGTGCACTATCCCAAACGCCGATGTCATCATTCCATCTGCGGTTCAGATGACCTGGGAGTCACTGCATAGACAGGATTCAGCGTATATCTAGACGGTCGTAAGTATATTTGAGCATCATGTACTTGTAAAATCTCCACCGGGAACACAGGCATGTTGTTCTTCATCATTTCTTCATTCACTTTAATGGCCTCAGCAGTCGTCATCCCAGGCCCTCCCGGCCCATATCTCGTTGCCTTGCGGGTGAAAGCGTTCGAAGACGCAACACGATGGGACCCTCACGCCCCTCAAGACCAACCTGAGAAGCGCAGAGTTATGGTCTCCGTCCACGTTCCCCTGAAGAAGGAAGCGAAATGTTCCATCGAAACCGTTCCCTATGTGCCGCCTACCACAGCAGTCGCCCTCAGCCAAGGGGCCGCGACCCTGTTTGGACTACCGGACACCATCTTTTCCGGGATGGAGCTTGAGTTCTGCAACATCGATACTTCTTGCGCCGGGGCCGAGAAAAATGAAGAGTACCCTCTCGTTCTCTTCTCACACGGACGAGCTAGCTCAAGACTTGCGCATGGTGTGCTGGCGCGGTCTCTTGCTACTTATGGGTACATCGTCGTCACTCTGGACCATACGTACGATGCCGCGATCGTTGAGTTCCCTGATGGAGTTATCAGATTTGCGGAGAACGCGACGAATAGCGACACGGCTTACGTTAAGAGCCTGCTTGAAGTGAGTCTACTTTTGCAGAACCTAGCCATGTCGAATCGAAGATACTAAACATCGCTATCCCACAGAGTCGTCAGAAAGATGTCTCTTTCATAATCGACCAGCTTCTGGACCCTTCGGTAGCTACACCGCTCCTCGCTGGGACTCAGGCTTCCATCAACCCAGAGAAGATCTTCATCGCCGGTCATTCCTTCGGAGGCGCTACGGTAGCCTCATCCCTCTATGTCGATGACCGCATCCTCGGCGGCCTCAACTTCGACGGTCAGATGCTCGGACCAGTCCTGGCCGAGGGAATCCATAAGCCCCTGGTGCTGGTCGGCACACCGACGACGTTTGACTACATTTCCGGCTGGAATGAGACTTGGGCTAATCTGCGCGGCCCGTCCTTGATGTTGATCGTCGACGGGACAACCCACATGTCTTTCTTTGACGCTCCGCAACTTCCGGCCGTCAAGGCTTTGCCCATAGAGTATTCCGATCTCATCAAGCAGGTTTTGGGCACCATAGACGACGATGTGTTGGCCAAGATTGAGATTGAGCTCTTACGGAGGACATTGGACTTTGTCTTGGAGGGTCACAAAGATGCGTTGTGCAACATTGAGAGCGTCGGCCCTGGTGTTAGCCAGCTGCGAGTCAAGAACTTTAAGTGCTCTTAAACGAGTGTAGGTAGTGTTGGGAGAGAGACTCGCCACTCTGTGCTTTTTAAAAGCTCTACTCAATAAAAGAATAACATGTTCTCCCTTCAAATTGAGGTTTTCACCTCACCAATTCAAGCATGCAGCACGTTGGACTTCGTTGTCTAGGTAAGTATTTCAGATTGCGAGCGTAAGTGGCTACGTCTGAAGATACTACTCTCTGAGCGAATTGAATCTAAATGTAATCAATGGAAATGTTTTGGTCCCCAGAAATGACTGACATGGAAGAGAAACCCCGCGCCCGTTTTGCATCAAAAGAAGCTCTTTGACCACCTGACTGCTCGTGCCGATCAACATATAAGCAAGCCCTTACCATCATAAGCAGCCTTATTGAGATTTTCCTATGTAGGCTTCCAAAGATGTTTCCATTGGAGAAAGTAACAAAAGAAGCATCCGGTAAGAGTGGTAGGGCTGGATGCGATAGTCATAAGAATAAAAGTTGAGGATGTAATGGCGTTTTTTGTACTTGAAATGCATCTCGAGGATTGATAAAGAAAGATCTTTAAGACGTTAGCGAGATCTTAGAAATACCTCAAAGCTGTGCTGACCTAACATTCTCAAGTCCGTCGTTGCTGGTACGTCTAGATCCTGAGGAGTCTCTACGATAGAGGCCCTTCGACTGCAGGTATCCCAAAACAATACTACTTTGAGTTCATTTCTGTAACTTCCTTGGGGAGCCTTGATCAAACCACAACAGGCGTGGCATCCTTCTCTAGCTCAATGAAGCACAAATCTTTCGGAAGATCTAGGCGAGGGAACCGATCAATAGGGAACGGCGAAGTTTCTCCTGTCCTTCGATATCCACAGCGCTCATACCAAGCGAGCAACTTTTCGCGAGATGAAAGGGCATTCAACCCAAACTTCTTTATGTCGTAATGCTTCCAAGCGTAGGCCTGGGCAGAGTCAAGAGTTTGACGCCCGACACCGCTGCGCTGCAGCTGGGGATTCACGGAAAGCATGGCAATTCGGGCCATTTGGGCTTCGCGCTTGAAAACAACTTGGACCGAGGTCGCGAGGACGCCGTGGAAGTCAAAGCCCATGAGGACTACTGCATCCGGGTTGTTGATGGTGGCGAGAGCCTCATCGGCTGAGTAGCGGAACGATCTGCCGAGTTCCATGTCGGCCGTCCAATCTGCTCGGCTGTCTTCGGCGCGGAATGCGGCCTCTACGAGCTGTGCGACTTGAGGAGCGTCGTCCTTGGTTGCAACGCGGAAAGTTACGGAGATGAGGTCGTTGATCTCGGCCATGTCTGAATGTATGCGGGGTTGTGAATGCAAAGCTAGAAGTGGTTCGATGTCGGAATGTTGATGATGAAGACGAGTGAGTATTGCCGGATGGAACAATTGGAGTTTTTATCGAAAAGCAGGAGAAAGGGCCTCCTACAAAAAATACCGCATTTGTGATGTGGTTTGAAGGGCGTTTGTCGTGACAAGTCGAAGATATTGGGCGGGCAATTCGTGTAACGGGAAGGGCGCCCATCTGTCAGCCCAATAGCAAGGGCGCAGTGCTTCTGCCTGAAGTTGCAAGAAACCCCCGCAGATGGACGCCAAACACAGGCAACTGCATAATGAGGGATACCGGCCTGCTGTTTATTTTATTTTTACGAAACTCAAACCATTCCATCCAAGAATAACCTCATGTTCAGTTCCGGGAAATAAATTGCTCGCTTGCTTGTAATTTGCGGGATTTGAAGTGGATGCAACGCCTGAAATGCGATAGGTTGGTGTGACTTTATCGATCAGTCGATGTGATGCTATTGCAGCTACTGGTCTCGCTTGTGGTTGAGCATACAGATCAGAATCTGGCTGACGGTTGTTCATAGGTGGCATTGTTGAGTTCACTGCTTCAATCAAAGCATAGATAGACGCGTCAAACTCGTATTCAAAGTTGTATCACCAAAGAAAAGAATATTGTCACTAAGCAATCGAGACTCTCAGCTTTCAATAGCAACATTAGCATGTATGCCTTCTATATATTTACATTATGTCTCAACCCAACTGCTTGAGGTATTATGTACTGGAGGTATGTTGAATCTAATTTGCGTATGCCTGGATCATGTATTCATGTAATCGCGTAAATGCTTCCTCTTCCTGAAAATGGCTCGCTTGAAAAGACAATGCACCAATCGTCGTGGTGATTAAATAGGGCCGGCAACCACCAGCAAGGCAAGGACAGTGACGCCGAGTGATGCCACATTCCATGTCAGAGCTCCAGCCGCGTTCTGGGATGTCGGAGTAGGAGAGGACGCAGATGCAGCATCAGCAGATGTCGGGGCTGCCGTGGTTGATCCTCCTACAGCCGATGATGCTGCAGTAGGCGTCGCGCTCGCCGGTGAGCTCGAGCTCGCTGGTCCTGACGAGATCGACGTCGTACTGGTCTTTGAGGACGATGAGGACGTCGTCGTGTCTGTCTTGCCAACCATCTCCTGCACCCATTTACCCGCGTCGCTGGAGTAGACATCAAAGTAATTGAGGTGGTTGGCCGCGGTGTCTCCGCCGGCGCAGATCGGATCGGATTCAACACAGTACGAGCGCATCACGCTGGAAAAGGCCCGCATGCCCGCAAGCTGGTTCTCCGGCCGTGGGAAGAGTCCGTTGTCCGGAGCTCCCGAGAGATAGTTGTACGGTTGGCTGGCCGTATGTCTTGTATCGCCAAAGATGAGCACAGCAGCGACTGTGAAAGGGCCCGGTATTAGCAACTCCCCGTCCTCACAAGTTGCGACACATGCAAACTTACGTTTGTTGCCGGGGGCCTTGGTGGCATCTAGCCCAGCATTCGCCTTCTGCTGACAACCCTGGAAGAACGTGCCACCTCCACCACCCAAAACGTCACCAACAACATGGCCGCCCTGGGAATATCCGCTCACAACGAGCTTCGCGTCCGGGCAGCGCTTGTTGTACGCCGTGATCTGCGCGGTGCCATTGGCGGCGCCTTCTTCGATGGACTGGCAGTAAGGCGCCTCGAGTGGGTTGTAGAACTGAATGTCCTCGTAGTCGCAGCTGTCGAGCCCGTCGCAGATGGCGGTGACGAGCTTGCCCTGGCGTCCGGGGTAGGGCTCGTTGTTCCCGCGCGCGAGGAAGATGTGCACGCTCTGGCAATTTGCGTCGCCTGTGGCCTGGCGCGGGGTGACGATCGCGGTACCCGAGGTCAATGGCAGCGTAGCGGAGAGGAGGGCGAGAGCCGCCGAGAGGGATGAGACCATCGTGAGCTTGATCTATGGGCCTGCGGCGGGCCGTTTCGTTTTTGGTGAGAGAATAGCGAGGAGAAGCAAATGTCAATAGGCGAATTGAACGCACGCGACATCGGCTACCAAGCTGTTTTTAACAAGTCCGTCTGTCGCAATGGACTCCCACCCCTTGCGGTTAAGGCTGGAGATTGATGAGATGCCCCAGAGCCGGCGAGCCGGTGGGTGGCATTCCGGAGGCCGTCCGTTACGGGCAAATACGAGTCAACGATAAGCCCTGATCCACCAAGGTCCAGGGATCCCAACTGTCGCAGCCCCGGTCTATCTGCCATAGCAACGTCATGTTCTCCTCTGTGTTGGAACTTAGCGCTGTCAAACAAGGCCTTGCAGGTTCTGAAAGACGAGACGAGCAGCTGAGAAGTCCTCCTGATCGCCCGGCAAGTGGGTATTGTCGGGCTCCGGCCGCGACGAAGCGACAAAGACGAAAACAATCATGAGATCGAACCGTTGACCCTTTCAGAATCACAGAGAGTGGTTCATGGAATGACTCGCTGAAGTGGTTGTTTTTAGGTGATGGCTTACAAGGAACAACCACGACCAAGAGCTGGCACTGGATGACCATTGACATTGGCGCAATGCGCTGTGTGTTGGAGGCTCTTGAGTTGACGGTGACCAAAATAGACTGGCGGAAGTGTCGGATTGAGTGTGGCTGGTTTGTCTCGCGGTGAACATGGATCAACGAAGCTCGGAGCCCGCATTCAGGGCAACGGGAATCCCGGCGCGGCACTTAAGCTCGTGGAACCGCCGCTATTCGGTGAGCAGAAGTTTCCTTTTTGTTCAACTTTGGGTCAATGTTGAGTCGCTCATGTTCATCTCAATCAATGCCACGTTGACATTTTGAGCTCAGATGGGTTGCAATCCAAGGCCCTGGGCAACTGAGTTGATTTGAAATTCAGCTGCGACTGCCACAATCGTCAAGCCTCGGAGCATTGTCTCGCAGCAAAGGGATGCCGAGTGGGATGACAATGCTGCACACGAGGTTCTCCAGTTACGAAAGACGCCTCTTTTCGGAGACAGTCGACTTTGATCCTTGCAACAGACTTTGACTTTGAGGTTCTAAGTGCTGCTATGATAATTTATACCTCTATTCACTTCACGATGCACTCTTCGAGTCGCTCTGAGATCTTCAAGTCATATTCGCGCCAGCCCAATTGCTGTGCCCAACTGCCCATTATCCAGACGTGAAATCAAGCGTTGCATTGCCTTGCATTGCCGGGACGTTACACTGTCGATCCCGTTGCAAGGCAGAATGGCACAGACCGATAGCTTGGCAAAGGTAAGCTGAAATCGCATCATTGAGAACGATAATACGACTGCATCAATTCATATATCGTCCAACGTGTGCTTTGAATGAATCCCAATGCCCACACTGCATTTACGAGATTCGCTGATTACATGGTCGCAAACAACATCTTGGCATTGAAGAGTTGTGGATGAATTCCTCGGGATGCGATAAAGATTGGGTTTAGAGTGCCCGGTTCCCCATTACGACCTTCCTCATCCTCCATCTCGACCGCTTCAGGGGTACCCGCAGAGGTGCGCCATCATGCCATTCAAGCAGCATCGCACAACACGAGAGCGAGACGGTGGCGGCGCCACGACGATGACTTAAGGTGCGGTTCGTCCCGCGACTTTAGTCTGAGTTGTGGTGTCTTGCTTCTCGGTCTTTGTCGTCATCTTGATAAGACAGGAGGAACAACCCGCCAGCCGCCACGATGAAGTTCTTGGCTACGACAACCGTACTCACATCCTGGGCGACTCTTGGCGTCAACGCCGCAGTCCAGGACAGGCAGACTACGAAGCCTCTCGTCGACTCGGCCAGCTTCCAAGAGCAGATCACTAAGGAGAAGTATGCCTCTATGCTCAATATTCCCCTCTTTCACACAAAACTCGTTCCTAACATGATCACAGCCTCCAAGCCAACCTGGTCCAACTGAGCGACATCGCAACAGCAAACGGCGGTAACCGCGCCTTCGGCCTCCCAGGCTACGCCGCGTCCGTCGACTACATCTTCAACCGCATCTCCAGCGCCGCCGGCGCCAAGGTCTGGAAACAGGACTTCTCCGCCACCTACAACACCGAGCTCCGCGCCAACCTCACCATCAACGGCGAGAAGTCGACCATCTACGGCCTCTACGGGTCCCCCGACACCCCCGCCGAGGGCATCACCGCGCAGCTCGTCGCGGGCCCGGAGGGCACCGCCGCCTGCGAGGCCGCTTCGTACGCGAACCTCGACGTCAGCGGCAAGATTGTGATTGTGACGGAGTCGGTGTGTCCTGGGTACCGGGATGGGTTCCACGCTGGTGTGATGAAGCCCGCTGCTGCGGCGGGTGCGAGTGCCGTGATTGTTGTCAATGATATCGCGCTGAATCTGACGGCTGGGAACCTTGGTCCGGCTGATGATGGGACGTATATCCCTACGGGCTTCGTCAACCAGCACATTGGCAATCCGCTCCAGGCTCGGTTGGCGGCTGGGGAGGTGCTGAACGCTTTCTTTTGGGAGGCTGAGGTTGTCGATAGCCGCGTGACGCAAAACGTATTTGCTGAAACGGAGGGCGGTGATGAGAACAACGTCATTGTCGTAAGTCAAGCCCGCACTGGATGGTGTCGTTCAGACTTCTGACGAGTTTCTAGCTCGGCGCCCATCTGGACAGCGTTGCATGGGGTCCAGGTATCAACGACAACGGTAAGAGACCTTGTTTCTCACGAAACTCACTGACGCTCACAAACTTTCAAATACTTACAAATATCAGGTTCCGGAACCTCACTCCTCCTCGAGCTCTTCCTAGCCCTCACGAAATACACCACCAACAACAAAATCCGCTTCGCGTGGTGGGGCGCCGAAGAAAAGGGCCTCATTGGTTCCCGTTACTACGTCAACAACCTCGCCACGCAAGAGCGCGATAACATCCTGGCCTACCTCAACTTCGACATGGTCGCCAAGGGATACTACGGCGTCTTCGACGGCGACGGCGCGTCTTACGGCGTCCCGGCCCCGCCTGGCTCCGACGTCATCCAGGAGCTCTTCACCGCCGACTTTGTCGCCAAGGGTATCAATGTGACTGCCGCGAGGTTCACCAACGGCAGTGACTATGCCTCCTTCTGGCAGGTCTTGGGCAAGCCCATAGGTGGTCTTCACACGGGAACGGGCTCTGCGCAGGATCCCTGCTATCATCAGCCGTGCGACGATATCAACAATCCGGATCTGGACCAACTGACGGTCAATGCAAAGGCAAGTGATTCAAGTTTCTTCACGAGATTTGTTATACAACTTCGTTGCTAACTCTCATGGACAGACCACTGCTCATGTGCTGTCCGCCTTGGCCCTCGACGGAACCAACCTGATCAAGAAGCTGACCGCTCGCGTGCTTCCCGCCCGTACCGCTGTGGCTGAAAGAGCCATCGCGACTGTGGAGGAGTCCGAGGACGAACATCACCATTGCTGATCTGGTACGGTAGAGATAGTAAGCTGTAGCAAACGCAACGCTTTTAATGAAGGATTTCGGTGATCTTCCACTTTGATGCCTGCTCTTCGATGTCTCCTTACGGACGACGTTATCTCCCGTTCCGTCTCTTCCGTGATGAGTCCATTTTTGGCCAGCGAGCCCACGGTGATATGCGTAGTATGTCTTCTAGAGGCCACTAAAGGTGAAGATTTCGGAATTTGGTGAATTCACTCGAGCACCTCTCAAGCGGGGGTATCGGCCATATGAAAGGGGCCGTGACACATAGGTTTACTGGGATGGCCAGTAAAACAGCGTCGTCCAGTGTGGCAGGGCTCGCAGAGAGACGACGTCCATTCGGATCCGGTCAGGTGCTCCGGCGACACGATCATGACGCTGGGCGTCACCGATTGCTTCGGGAACAAGATCGAGTCCTAGATCGATGCTGTCACTCCGAGCTCGCGCAGTTTTGACAAGGTCTGATGCTGAAGAGACTTCAAAGGGATGACGAGGACCTTCATGCCGGTCGGCATGGCGATGGCCGCTCCCATGGGCAGAATCGATTCCAGCACGGCTTCCGGCTCGATCAATTTTGGACTGCGGACTCGTAGCTTCACGACTATCTCCGGATTCGGTAAAGAGCGACATCATTGCTCGTCGTTGGGATGGTATACAGCAGCGAATAAGCCACAGATGGCGGGAGTCGACTTGAAACAAATCCATGCTCTCTCTTGATCTTGATAATTGATACCTCTGGGTATGGTGTTTCCGTTAGACATTGGGACTGGACCACATCATAGCGTTGCGACTTAGAAACTACCCGTCAACTACCCACGGCGGCTATGATTATATATCATCTGAAGGGCCTAGTTAGCCAAGTGTTTGAATGCACTTCGCCGTGTCAGACGCAAGGTGTCTAAATCACCAGCCAGAAACCAGTTTCCAGAAGCCGTCTATAAGTCTCCAGGGGCCCGCGCCTTTTTCTTTATCCCCTCCCACTTCACCTCCCTTCCCTGGAACCACCGTCTCCTTCATCTCCGAGACCGCAAGCTTGAATCCAAAGCCGAGGTCACTCTGCATCATCCGGTGCTCTCTGACCATCTCCTCCCTCGTCCGTCTCTCACTCTCGTCCAGCTCCTTTCTCCGCACCCCAATCTCATCAAACTTGGCCTGATACTTGACCGTCAGCCCGTCTTTCTTCCGCTCCGAGATCGCAAGCACCATCTCCATTTCCTCCCTCAGCAGGCCCAGCTTAGCCAGGCACTCGTCCTGCCGCAGCACCTTCGCAAGGCTCTCCGCGTCAGCGAGGTACGCCTTCACATCCGCGGCGCAAAGAACCTCGCGATGCACGGCCTTGTGCCGAATCTGCTTGATCGATTTGAAGAAGGCGTGCCAGTCTGTATGCGGCGGGGGCACCGTTTCAGCTTGGAATGTATCAAATACCTCGTTTTTGAAGATCCACATCCATTTCTGAAGTTCGACGCGCTCGGGCGACTCCCATTGTCCTGCTTCCAGGATCTTGGGGTGCGCCTGCTTCGCGTAGTCGAAGCAGGCTTTCTCTAGAAGGCTTTGGATCTTTGCGAAGAGAGCGTGCTGGGCTTCGTATGATAGGAAGGCGGTGGAAAGCACGGGGAAAGCTGTGGTCTCTATAGGTGGCTGTCGCGCTGTTTCTGTTGGCGTTGACTCGGCGATGGCGGTGTCGCTGCTGGTCGTGTTGCTTGCCGCGTCGCCCACGTCCGCTGTAGCCTGACTAGTGTAAGATCCCGGAACTGCCATACTTTCTTCAGCATCTCGTCCTGGAACTACAATAGCGGCTTGCGGCCGAGACGTCCTTTCCGCCTTTCTCTCAGAAATGAGCGCCACGATCTCCTCCTTCCAATCTATCTCCTGTCTCGTAGCTTCCGGCGTCTCTGGCGCATTCGCTGGTGTAGCTACTACTTGTGCTGAAGCCGGGAGTTGTTGGAATAACTGAGGAAACCGCTGCTCGGCCTTCCATTTGGTTTCGAAGATCTTCTCCTCCAGGAGTTTCTGGCACGTACTGACGACGACTGGCCGAGTATATTTCAAGTCAAGGGCTTTGATCGCTGGGCCCAAGCAAGCGTGAATTCTGCGTTGGATGGGTTTTGGGTGACGGATCTCGGCGTGCTTTTTGGAGAAGACATGTTGCATGGCGAGGTAAATCTCCTCTTCCATCGTCGAAGCCATACTCGGGGGTTGGGACGTTTCCTGTCGTATCTCAGAAGGATGCTGGGGGTGCGAAGTCTGGTTTTGGAGGGCCAGAAGTTTGTTGATGAAGTGGATGTGGATGGTCTAGGAGAATGAAAGGGTCCCAGGGTCGCATCGTCTTTCAACAGGGATGTATCTGTCAATAGGTGCGTCGGAGAAAGGTGCTACACGGTTGATAGGGTTGGTAGGGTAGGCGGGAGACACTAGATCCAACGTCAGTCGCAAGTTTAAGAGAGAGAGCCACCTTGATGGAGAGCACCATAATGATCCCACGGTAACCTCTCGATCCTACAGGCTCAGATACAAAGCAAATTCCGACATCTTCTCAGGAAAAGTGAATAAAGAACTCACGGGACTTGTATACATACTCTTCCACTTGGTTATTCCAACTGTGCCGAGACTAGGACTCCGGTCGAGCATGGTAGATCACCGTGGAAGGTCGAGAAGAAGGCTCAAAAGCATGTGCTCACTGCGGTGCCAAGCCCATGATTTTGGAGAGACGGTTCTCAAAGATTATACAAGGACTCATTGTTCAGAGTAGCTGACTGAGTTCCCTTGCACAAGATGTTCATATGAACGAGGGAATGATGTCTCCGGTTTCCTTTGAGTCTGACTTTTCCTTCTTGACGGGAGCTCGCCGTTGAGGCCTCGAGTTGGCTCTCCGGTTCTTGAATCTAGTAAATAGATCATCGTCGTCATCGTCTTCGTCTTCGTCTGCATCGTTCGTAGGTGGTGTGTTTGTAGCCACTCTTACGGATGACACCGGTTTCGGAGCCACTGTTCCCAAGGGCCCTCGGCCATTTGAGGACGCTCTCGCCTCGGGTAATCGCGCGCTGCTTGAATGCGTCGTTCGTTGCTGAATGCTTGGTCGGCTTTGGGCCTTTGCAATAGTTTCTGATGGATAAGCCAGTCTTTTGTGTTCGACGTCCCTCCTGACCGGAGCTTTGACAGGTCCTCCAAGGTCATCACTCTCATCTTCCGTCGTCGCCTCATCCACCGGCGTACTCCTCTTCGCCGGCGCCGCCGGCCTTTTACTCTGAGAAGACCTCACCACGCCCCCAAACAGCCCCGAAGCCGATGTCCTAACCCCTGAATCCGGCCTCGTCAGCGCCATCAGCGGCACCTCCTTCTTTTTGGGACTGTGCATGAGCCCCTGCAGCGACGTGCCCCTCCACGGCACGCTAGTCTCGTCCCCAGTGTCCTCGTCGGCCCGGCCGGCGTCCCTCTTTGCGCGGCGCAGCGCCTCGCGCTGCTTCTTCTTACGGAGCAGCTCCTCCTGGCGTTTGCGCGCGAGCTCGGTGAGGGAGCCGACGACGGGGCGGGAAATGGTCTTGATGGTTTCTGCATTTTGGGTGCGTGTTTGGGCTTTGAGGCGCTGGTATTCTGCCGCGTGGAGGTGTGCTGTGAAGTGGCCTGCGATTGTGACGAGCTCGTCCTCGACCATGCGATACTTGTCGTCGTTTTCGAGACCGTCTATCATGAACCTGTGCATTTTTTGAGCGCTGCGTACGTCTCAGTGTGGGAATTGGGATAAGTACGTTTCTGTGAGAGGTTCTGGCGGTGGTGAAGTCGAAGGGCTTCTGCCTATGAGAGTCCCAAGTCAACGAAGGAAATAATGTGACCAGGCGCGACTCATACCTTCAAGGAAACCATTTGAGCGGGCTGGTTTATGATTCGAGTGATCCAGCGGCGACGCAGCAGCAGTTGTTGCTCGAGACACAGCCCGATTCGGTGTCGCGGTTCTGCGAGGTGTCGTTGCAGTCTGTTTCTTCTGGGTTGCCGTCCGTTCCAGTGCATTACGGTCCCAGGGGAGTCGTCGCGTCATGGCTTAGATAGTGTGTGAAAGGTCCGAGGCGATGAGGCTGTAGACGAGAAACTCTCATTATCGTGAGGTTTCAAGCCGATGTTATTAAAGTTAGTTGAGATTGAATGAGATGTTCGTTCACGACTGCCTGTAATGAGCAGTCCAATCAGCTCGCTGTGGTTGATGAAGCTCGTCGCGCCTTCCAGGTGAGACTGGGCGGATGTGCATGTGCGCTGCACCGCAAATTATGCAAAGACTGCATAACTATCTCCTAATGCACGCCCCGCATTCTGCATAACTGTCAAAGCATCAAGAGAAACTCATCATCAACCGAACGAAATACATCGCAAAAAAGATATCTTGATAGAAAAGAAAAGTACCCGATCCGGGATATGAGTATTTTAAACGCTATGAGCATGCCCCATTTTATCTATCATCCGTAACCCAGCCCAAACAAAATACACGCATCACCAACTTATATCCTTCAACCCAGGTTGAATTCACTGGCCGCATTCATCACAGCCCTCATCTTCATCTTCATCTTCCTCTCCATCTCACTTGGCTCGGCACCAGTATCGATATCCTCCATCGCGTTGCCACCCGAGGGCCTGCTGTCTCCTCTTCTCTTGCCGGCGTTCTTCTGCTTCATAACCGCCTTCTTGCTGTCGTGGCCGCCACGTCCGATGCCTGAAGGCGCCTCACGCAGGCCGTACGCCTTTGCCAAGTGACCCAGGTGCAGCTCGTTGATGTCAAAGTAGACGCGCTCGTCCTTGATGTGGGTCGCGTACGCCCTGACGTGCGACCGGAAGGCCTTACGAGCCTCGTCCAGGAGTTTCGTTGCCGATTCGAGGAGAAGCCGCTGCTCAAGGTGAAGCTGCAAGTTCTCGGCGCGGTTGCTGAAGCCCCTGTCGGTCGCGGGCTGGGGCTTGGTATCCGTCTCAACGGGGAACTCCATGCCTGTCGTGAAGCCCTTGTGCAAGATAGTGTCGTAGAGTTCAGGCTTGGGAGGTGAAGCGTTCTTGGATTTGAGGAGGTCGATGTAGCCTTCTTCACAGCCAGGCATGAGGAAGAGGACCGCCTTACCGGGCTTACCGGCACGCGCTGTACGACCGATACGATGGACGTGGTCGTCTGCGCTGAAGGCGGGGTCGTATTCGACTACGAGCTCGACGGAGGGCACATCGAGACCACGGGAGGCAATATCGGTAGTGAGTAGGACTGTCGGGTCTGTGCATTTACTGTAAGACGCCAGCGTAGCCGTACGGACTGGTTGAGGGAGGGAGCCGTGCAGTTTGTGGAGGACAATATTTGTGTTCGCCGCCGATGTGATGTACGCCGAAGACCCAACGGTATTTGCGGTTGCAGACGTTGCGTTATCAGTTGAGCTCTCTTCCTTCTTCGGCGGTTGACGGAGGAGATCGAAGTGATAATCGACTGAGTCGGCGCAGGAAAAGAAGACGATGGCTTTCATCACCGACCCCTTCCTTGAAAATGTGGACTTCAGAAGTGCTATGAGCGTCACGAGCCGCAGCTTGGCTGGCACAATCAAGTAGTTCTGCTTCAGTTGCGCCGGAGCCTCGAACTTGATCTCTTCTCCTTCGACATGCTCTTCTCCTGATGTGGTAATGTGAACCGCATCCTCCAGACTGATCTCGCCAAGCTTCTGAACGTTCATCTTCATAGTGGCCGAGCAAAGAACGGTCACGCGACGCTGTGGAAGGTTGGCGAGCGACACGCCGTTAGCTGTCTTGTCTGCCAAGGGATTTTCGCGGATCCTGCCGACAATGGTGCGCAGTTCCGCCTCGAAACCCATCTCCATCAAACGATCGCCTTCATCGAGAACCAGCCACCTCACGGTGCCGACGTCGAGAGTCTTGGTGTGCTCGAGGTGATCGCTCAAACGACCGGGGGTTGCGATGAGGATGTTGACACCTTTCCGCAGGCGGCTCTTCTCAGAGTGTTTGCTCTCACCACCAATGACCGTTGTGCTGACCAGGTACGGCGGGAGCACCTTTGCGAGCACGAGCTCGATCTGCCTACAAAGTTCACGGGTAGGCGCCATGACAATGGCGAACAAGCCCGAGTCTCTCTTGATCTGGCCCTCAACCGACAGAATCCGCTGGATGATGGGCAGCAGATACGCCAAGGTCTTTCCGGAACCTGTTTGCGCCTGCACAAAGGCATCGCTGTCTTCCTTGATGAGTTGAGGAAGGACCTTGGCTTGAATAGCTGTCGGTGCCTTGAGCTGGATCTTGCCGGAGAGCGTCAACGCCAGTCGTCTTGAGATACCGAGGGCGTGGAAGCTGGCAGCTTCATCGGAAAGCGGCGCGTTTGAAGGCTCAGCGACCTTCTCCTCAACCTTCTCAGCACCGGGTTCATCGAAGACAGTCTTTGGCGTGGGGTTGTAAGAGAAAAGCTTCGATGAGATTTGGCCGTCTCTCAGCTTGTTCGCGATGCTGCCGGGCGGCATTTTTCCAGTCCGGTAAGCCGTCGCATGAGGATGCTCTGGCCGCGCTCGCTTTGCCGGGCGCTCAAAAGAGTCGTCGTCGTCGCCAGGGCGGTCTGACCTCTGGGGTTTCTTGGATCCAGGCGTGTATCTTTGCGGTAGCGGGGCATCGTCTTTTGCTGTTGATGAAGCCTCTTTTTCAGTGCCTTTATTCGCAATCCGGTTGGCCTTATTCCTGTCGCGCCAGCGACCACCCTGAATCTTGACATGGGGCTTGACAGGGCCGCTGCCCATGTCAAAATTGAGAATCATGCCATCGTCCGCCATTTTGTCGATGAGATTTTGCCGTTGGTCGCAAAACTGAGGCGCTGGGTTGCCGAGACTTGGTGGAAATTTTCAGGCAAGCAAAGTCTTATCGCTTTCGGTGTTTAGATAAGCCCCACACTCCATCCTGCAAGGGTGCACAGTCCACCGCTGAGGAGGCTCCGACTACCTTACGCTATGTAATATGCTGCGCAGCAGGTACTTCGCCAGAGTACCTCGCCAGCTTGCGTGGTGAACTTGGAGTTTTGAGGAGGGACATGGAAGTTGACGCCCTCGGCATACCTTTATCAGCATTCGCCAGCTACTATCTCGGGTCCCTCAAACTTCTGCTCACCCAAAATTTTCTATACTGCCACCAATGGTTTTGGCGAACGAAGCGATGCTCATACAAGACCTCTTCGCCGAACCAAGCCACTGTTCCACCACAGAATCTCAATTTGGAGGTCCTCCAAGCCTCACCCGTCTTCTGCCCGTGTATATTCCTACCTGTTTTTCTTGCCGTTGAGGTTGACCAGCTATAAACGGAAATGCTATTCTGAAATGAAAGATGCGAAGCTTCGGCTTGCACCTAACGCCAGGAAACGGAGGCATACGCTTGATACAGCGAGACACCAACTGGCCATCGAGAGGATGGACCACCGAAGTCATTGCTACTCGTGTGGGAAATTTGACGGAGTTGTATCGCGCTGGTGGCCAATATACATGCATTGTATTGAGTGTCTATGGCACAACAGCACTTCAGATTTAGCCGTCGCGGACCTAAGAGTGAATGGAAACAATTGCCACCTCCCTCCATGAAGTCTACTAGGTATTGTCTATAGCCGGGGCAAGAGCTAAGCAACTCCTTCTTCCAGGATTCCAGGCACGCAACACAGGCCATTCTTCACCTTCTCGGTTTCTGGAAGTCAATGGACTCATGCCCTTCGGCTGACTTCGCGGCTGATTCAGGAGATGATGCATCTCGATTTGCCGCAGTCCCGAAAGTCCGAGGGTAAGATGCCCACCTGACATCAAGGGGATTCTTACGTCTCTCAGCCTCATTCTATGGATCATCTTCCAAAATGAAGCGCACCCTCAAGTACAGAGGTAAACCTCTCAAAACATGGGAGACGTAGCGGCACAACTTCAACAAGGCACGCGAGGTATCGTCATCTGATGCAACGCTTCTGCAATGATCAGCAAACTTCCTAGGAGCCCTGGCATACCCAAAGGAAGTCAATTGTGAGACCTGGCTTTGCATAGGAGGTGAGTGTCCAATAGCACATCTGGATCTCGACTCTCATGCCGGAGGCCGTCTACGCCAGCATGCACAATTGAAACCAAAAAAAAACAAATGTGCAGCCCAACAGATTCGAGGACAGCATTTCGCGTTCTCAGCGGTTACCACCCAGTAACACCCCCTCCCCCAGATGTTGTAATTCCGCTAATGTTCCTCAGGCAAAAGTGCACTTCTCTGACCAATTGGCGGATCTTGGCTGGGCGTCCATCTGCTGCTGGTCTCGTGGAGAAAGGCTCTTGCCGGAATCTGCACACCGCTTACTCTGAGCCTCATCTTGGCGGATGGTGTATCGTCGACGACAACGAACCTGATTCTTGCCTTCCTCGTTCTCTCCATACGTTTCGCAATGTTATTATATGATGTCGATGACGAGACGCTCCGGCTGGTCCTCCAAATGCACTTGGAGGACCTCGAGAGCATCAGGCAGAGCAACAAGGGCAAATGCCACGCGGACGAGGCCACCGATCATGATATAGCCATCGAAACCTACAAGTCGGAGATCGAGGCTCATGCCCTACTCGCGGCGGACAGGCGCATGTGCAAGAGTATTGCCAAAGCAAACCAAACCGACGCCCGCCTCATCACCAACCTCGCCAGGCAGGAAGACCAAGCTGCTCGAGATAGGGCAGCGGCCATTCGGCTCAGCAACGGGGGGGGACTCGATGAAGATGTGCCTGCAGCTCATGTCCGGTCGAACAATGCCAAAAGCAAGGAAGATGAGATGTTGCGAAAACTCAAGGCACTCTTCGTCTCTGCCAACGGCGAAGAGGAGGTCCACGATGATGATGAGGACACCTTAAGCCCCCCAGAATCATCATCATGGGCAGCCTCCAGACTCCAAACCAACCTACCAGCAGCCAATCCCACCAAGTTAACATGCGATAGCTGCACAAACACCTACCCCTCCACCACAGTCGCCCACCTCCCATGCAACCACAACTACTGCCGCGACTGCCTCCGAACCCTCTTCCAACTCTCCCTCACAGACGAGTCTCTCTTCCCGCCGCGGTGCTGCAGACAACCCATCCCCATCGACGACAACAACATCAGGGCCTTCCTCCCCTCCCAACTGATCGGCAGCTTCCGCGCAAAGGAGCTCGAGCTCTTGACGCCCGATCGGACGTACTGCCACCGGCCGACCTGCTCCCGCTTCATACCAAAGGAGTTTACGCGGGGGGATATCGGCACGTGTCCGGCGTGCCAGCATGAGACCTGCCTGATGTGCAAGGGCGCCGGGCACGGCGAGCAGGATTGCACGCAGGACACGCAGACGCAGGCGCTTCTCGAGGTCGCTGCCGCCAACGGGTGGCAACGCTGCTTTGGGTGTCGACGGGTCGTGGAGCTCGATCACGGATGTAATCACATGAGTGAGTGAATCTTTTCTCCTGTTTCCCCCCTCCCTCTCCCCCGCCCCCTATCTCCCTATCTCAGGGACGTGGACGTTGAACACGAGCTGATAATCATTGCCCTCAAAAAGCTTGTCCTTGCGGAGCACAATTCTGCTACCTCTGTGGAGAAAGGTGGAAGACGTGTACCTGTGCGCAATGGAACGAGGAGCGGCTCGTCGCCCGCGCCAACGAAATCGTGGACCGGCGGGCTGACGCCCTGCATCTGGATGCTGCGGCGAGAGCGCAACGGGTCGAAAGGGAGGCGCATAATCTCGTGGAGAATCATCAGTGTGTTCATCCCACCTGGAGGAGCCGCCGCGGAGGGTTCCGGTGCGAGGAGTGTCACGACTTCCTGGGAGAATTCATCTATGAGTGCGCTCAGTGTCGCATCCATGCATGCCGCAGATGTAGACACAATCGACTTTAGAGAGTAGGAGTTGTGTGAGAAGAAGAAGAATCCAGATGACTGTGCGTGTACAGTGTGACAAATATTTTCGGAGCTGCTCATGAGCCAACAAGTCATGAAAATCTTTACATTTGGCCCATTTCGAACAAGAACAACGATGAAACCCATCAAACACGATGGCAAATGGACAATCTTGCAAAAGAAAACTCATTCCAAACTCGTACGGAAATAATTGATGCCAGATGCAAAAGATATTGCGGCCAGTGTGGATTGAACACACGACCTTCAGATTAAGTGATTGAAGTTAACTTCAGTCTGACGCTCTCCCAACTGAGCTATGTCCGCCGCATTTGATTGGTGATTTCGAGAAGTGTTTTGTCTTGAGTAGCGCTTCGCGTGAGCCCAGGCCCTCGGCGACAGTTCCGGAGAGAGAGCCCTTGTCTTCCGCGCCGACCTCACACATCCAGGCATCGTGAGAGGTGAGCTTCCAAGTCTGATCCTCAAGAAGCCTAAGTCTGTCGTGTCACTTTGCGGCAGAGAGGTTCCAATGCACGTAGCCTTTCTGTGGCGTAACCTCTGAAGCCCATCGTTGCTTGCAAGTAAGTGTTGACTGGCGTCACCGAATCGTGACTGAAGGTTTGAATGTACTGAACACCTCCTCTCGAACATTCGTATACGCTAGCTGATATCATACTCTTTCCTATATTTTCATGCGCCAAATTGCTCGCTTTTTTGTTTTCTCATTTGTCAGTCGATAAGCATCAACCGCACCTCTCAAGCCAACCACCCAGCATACGTACTCAACTCCTCCCGCCTCGCACCCTCCATCTCCCCCTTAACACCCAACAACCGCACCCTCGCCCCCTTCTCCCTCCCCCACCCCTCTAAGAACGCCTCAACCCTCTTCTGCGTAGCCTCGTCATCCCTCATGATCAAAGCCACCGCATCAAACCCGCCCGCGCCAGGCACGACGCCGCCCAACACGCCCTCGACACCACTGAGCGCGTCAAGCAGCTCCGTCTGCGACTCGGGCTCAATGGGAACACCGCTCCCCTCCCCCATAGCCCGAATCAGACTCCTCACATCCGCAACCGCGCCGCCGACTTTCTCGGTCTCCCCGTTCTTCAGCGCCGAAGCAAGAGCCTCGTTCTTGCCCTGCAACTCACCCCACAGCGCCTTGCTCCCCTCCGCGTCGGCCTTCCTCCACTCGAGCACCTTCTTCACCATACTCACCGTCTGACTACCGCAATCGACATCACACATGCGAAGACACACGCCCGCAGGCAACCCCGTCCCAGCCTTGTCGACCTCGACATCCCACGCGAGCAACTCATCCACCTTCCTCACCAGCGCCTCCGAAAACCCGGGGCTGCCCGCCGCCCCGAGATCAGAGAGCAGAGAGGGCGAGAAGCGGCGGTACCGACAGCTTCCAAACACCGCGGCCGCGACATCGAAGCCGGACCCGACCTTTCCTTGGGCGGCGCAGTGCGCCGCCTGCGCGAGGTTGTGGAGCGTGTGCTTCCCCGCCTCGGAGTTGATATCAAAGAGCGACGTGGGGAGGTGATGCGTCAGGAGCGCGGCCGTCAGGGAGGTGACGAGCGCGGCGGAGGAGCCGAGGCCTGTCTTGTGCGCTTCGCCGATGGTGTGGGGGTACCGCGCGAAGCGGGTTCCCTTCTTCGCTGCCGGGATGGCGGTGCCGGAGACGGCGGAATCCGGGTCGTTGGATGAGGAGGGCAGGGAGTAGTAGTCGTTGTCGGCGAGGATGATGAGGCGGGTTGAGGTGAGGGCGTGGCTTGGGCGCTGCTTGTTGATGCGGGCAATGTAGGTGAGGGCGTAGCTTAGGGTCGTCTCGACGAATGTGTTTGGGCTGATTTTGGAGCCGCTGGGAGGAGGTTAGTGATGAGGTGAGGTGAGTGAGAGTGAGAGTGAGAGTGAGTGAGGCAATATGAGATCTGGGGTGGGTATGCTTGCGAAATGTGATGATGATGTTGATCATCAGCGGAAACATTGTCAGGCACATATGAGAGGGCATGGCATAGCAAAAGCATAGCAAGAGCACAGCGAAATCTCAACACGACCCAACACTCATCCGCCGCGTGAATATCTCAAAAGCCCGCCCCTTATCAACCACATCCCACCAAAGCCCCGCACCGAAACTCTTGAAGAACTTTTGAGACATAGAGTTCCCCTCAACACACCCCGCCCCAAGCTCATGACGAACAAACTACACAAAAACCACCAAAAAAAAAAAAAAAAACACCGAAAGATCCGAGGGAACCGAGGGGAAGCAAAAGCAACTTACACCTGCAGCTGCGTAACCGTAATCCCGCCATCCTCAGGCGCGAGATGGAACCCGTACCGCCAGACGGCGTCGACAAACTGCGGGCTCTCGACGACGATCTCGGTCAGGTGCACGCCCGGAATGGTGTGGATCTCGGCGGCCACGACATTGATACGCGCGCTGAGCCCAAAGACGAGGCCCGTGTAGGCCCGGTCCAGCACCAGGTAGCCGCCCGCCAGGAGGACCTTGCCGGGCGCCGAGACGGCCGTCGTCGTGGAAGCCGTCATTTTTCTTTTCTTCGGGAAACGTGGTCTTGGGTTAGGTATCTAGTGGTGTGTATGTCTTTTCGGGGTTGGGTCCGGTTTGTGTGAGGGGTATGTGAGATCTGTACCTCAGATTGCAGGTCGATAGCAGATATCTACGGCCTTTGAAAATCGCCAATTGAAATACAGCCGTTACGCAGCTTGCGATGGCTGGAATTTCAGCGCGCTTGAATATGCGGTACAGCTGTAGGATGAGGCCCAGTGAGGGGTGGGTTGTGTGATGACGCAGGCGTGATGGAGGTGAGGGCAGCTAAGTAGTTGAAAGTTTACGATGCGAAATCGCATCGTGGGAGGAACGAGCGCACAGTGCTAGGGGCACGTGCGAGGGAGCTGATTCATCGATAATGCACTGTGTAAATCTCTGGTCCAATTCAATCAGGAGCCTTAAACCATCGCCAAAGCTGGTACACTCTGAACGACAACCAGAATCCCGGTTCCAGCGGTCAGACACTTGGATTGAACTCAAGTCTGCATACTGATCAGATTATAGAGGACAAGTTAAATGTGCTTCAGCACATCTTCATTATCCAAACCTATTGAACATTACACACCGACAGCAAAGCATCGCCATCATCTTCACACTGCGGGCCAATTGTTTGAACAGTCGACAAATCTTATTTTGTTGGATGCTGCCGGTAATATACATACAGCAGGATCACATGCCCTCATGACATGTCGTCGTAAACCGACCCCCAGTACCCTTTCCGTCCATTCATGATCCTCTATGCTGCGTTGCGCTTCTATCCGGCGCCCTCTTTTTTATACTATGCTTGAGTGGGGTTGTGTCTATAATTTGGGCCGTTGGCCGTCATCGCTCGCTTTCCGATAAAAAGCCCCTGAACGGGTGCTCAGTCGCCGTGACCCTTTTGCTTCCGACAAACGCCGTACCGACCCAGTATCCCGATTGTGGGGGTATGAATTCGACTTCCGGTTCAAACTCCAAATTCCAAAGCCATGTGACGATATGAAATGCTTTCGGCGCACTGCCGCAAACCAGACTGGCCGCCGATCCTGGCCAGGCACCCTCAGTCCACCTACTTTCAAAACACAACGGGGTATCAAGCAACGCGGTAGATGAGGGCAGTTACAAAGGAAATGTGTTCATCGAGGGAAAACGCAGAGCAGCTGCTCAATGCGTGATTCGATGATTTGACGATCAACGTAGACAAGACAGGTGTTGGAGTGAGCTTAGTTGTGTGCAACAGCTTCCTCACCACCGCCACCGCCAAGAAGCTCCAGCACCTTGTTGACAACAGCACTGGGGTAGCCACGGCAGAGCATCTCTCCAACTACGCCCTTGGCCTTCTCGCGCTCCTCGACGGCGAGGTAAGCACGAGTCATAGCCTCGTATGTGCTGGGCTCACGCTTCTCATGGCCGACAGAGTCGTAGATGGCTTGAGCTTTCTCGATCTGCTTCTCAGCGGCCCAGCCGTGGATCAGCGTGTTGGCGATGTAAGGAGTCATCTCAACACCTCGTCGGCGCATCTGACCAAGGATGGCCTCAGTGTCGACAACCTTGTGGTTTGCAACCATGGCCTCAAACAATGCTTGGAAGAGGCTAGCGTTGGCGGTGACAGCCCGGTCGGCCATGACAGAGTCGAAGACCTTGCGGGCGCCCTCCATGTCGTGGAGGTTGCAGCCACGGGCATGGATGAGCGCAGCGAAGTGGACGGCCTCGGGCTTCTGACCGGACGTGCGGATGGCCTCGAGGACCTTCTCGGCAGCAGCCATGTCAACAGGCTCGAGGGTGGCGTGGGTGTCGACAAGAAGCTTATAGGTGTGAGCAGTGGGGGCGATTCCCTTGGCCATCATGCGATCGTAGTAGGCAAGAACCTTCGCCTTGTCGCGCTTGGTAGTCAGGAAGAACTGCATCATGCTGTTGTAGGGAGCAGGGCGAGCCTTGTAGTTGGGCATTGCCTCCATCTCATCGAACAACTCCTCCGCAAACTTCTCGTCGCTGACGCGGCAGAGAGCGTTAACAATGGTACCGTAGGTGACCGAGGTAGGCTTGATTCCCAGAGCGCGCATCTCGGCGAAGTAGAACAGGCAGTCGTCGATGCGGCGAGCCTTGCCCAACTTGCCAATCAAAGCATTGTAGAGAAAAGAGCTGGGCTCGACACCCTCGGCCTTGGCACGGTGGAAGATTTTGACAGCCTCGGAAGCCTCGTCGAAGGTCTTGGCGGATTCCTTGAGGGTGGTGATGTACAGGCCGAAGGTGTTAGCGGAGGGGGCGGCACCCATAGCAAGCAGCTCCTGGTGGTACTGCTCGGCGATCTGGCGGTGACCAATGGTGAGGCAGGCGCCAACCATAGCATCCAGGATGCTAGACCAGCCGTAACGAACAACAGCATACTGGGGCAGCAGGGGAACATCAGTGCGGGCCATCGCGAGAATGTCGTTGCAAAGCTCCATCTTGCCCTCGCGAGAAGCAGCAGAGATCAACTTGGCGTAGGTGATGTAGCGAGGGTGACGGCCAGCACGACGCATGTTGCGGAAGCGACCAAGAGCGTCGTGGAGTCTGGGGCCCTTGCGGCCGTGAGAACCCTCGAGTTCATCAGATATCAACGAAGAGCCCTTGAAGTCGGTGTTGTGCGCGTAGGGGTCAAAAGAATCCTCAAAGCTCGAGACGGTGGCCGATGTGGTGAAGGGAGAGGCGGAGAGGTTCTGAGAAGACAGCTCGCGAGGATCGGTGATGCCACGGCTGCTCATGAACTGGTGAACGAAGTCAACTCCCTCCTCAATTTCGTCAGCAGACTCAGGGTTGGCAGCACGAATGCGCTGGAACATGAGCTCGGACTCGGCCAGACCCTCAGCAACTTGGCCAGATCCAATCATCGCAATGGCGTACATTGCAGTGGGCTCGATGAGCGCCGGGGTAACCGGGGTCTCAGGAGCACAGAGAACATGCCAGTAGCGAGCTGCGGAAGCAACATCGCCCTGACGAACGCTCAAAGCAAGAAGTGCCATGGCAGGGGTAGCAATCTGGTGGAAGTTGATAGGCAGGTTGGCGAAAGCAGCGACGGCGGTGTGCTTGTCACCGTGGTCCGCAGCGCGAGTGGCAAGGCTGCTCATGGGGTCAGCTCTGACCTCAGCCTCGACAACCTGGGCCCAGCGGAGGGCCTCGTTGAAAATGCCGCGGTCAGTGAAAGCCTTGACCATGCCAGAGCTGACAATCGCATCCTTGATATCGCCGGCGCGGACGCCATACTCCGTGATGATCTTCTCGTAGAACTTCATCGCACCGTCAACCTTGTCGGAGATGATGTAGGCGTGGATGACAGAAGCGTACACTTCGGCGTCCAACCTGTCGTTAAGGGTAGGCTCGCCGTTGTCGTTAGCAACTGCAAGGTCTTTGTACTCGTTGTAGCACTCCACAGCGCTGACAAGGTCGCCGGACGTCGCGAAGGCGGTGATCATGCTGGGGAACATGGCGGCGAAGGGGGTGACACGGTTCAACTCCATGTGCTCGTAGAGGCGGAGCATGTCAGTAACACGCCCAGCTTGAGCACAAGCAGAGATGAGCTGGTGGTATGACTCAGCAGAGTAGGACGCCCTCTGGGTGAGGACAGACTTCTCAAACATGTCCATGGCAAGATCGAGCCTGTCATCCTCGGAAAGAATGGCATGCTCAAGCTCGTGGGAAGCGAACATAAACTTGCCGGGCTCATCCATGCCACCGAAACGCACCAATTTGTCGTGAAGAGTCTTCTTCAAAGAGGCAACCTCGAGGGATCGGGCGGCAAGGAGACCAACAAGAATGTTGTAGGTATCGCTGTCCGGCACGATCTTGCGGCGGAGCATGTCGGCGTAGACATCCAGAGCCTTAGTAACCATCTCGTTCTTGGCAGTGGGCAAGTGAATGGCGGCAACCAACAGAGCGTTGTAGGCGCTCGCGATAGGCTGCACGCCGGCGACGAGCATGGCCTCGAATACGGCCGGAATCTCAGCGTAGCGGCCATCCTCAGAGAGCTTGTGAAGGTGGTCGGCGTACACCTGAGATTGAGGGTCGAAAGGAGGAGTGGCAGTTCGGGCTACGCTGACGGGAGTCCGCGATCTGTCGATTGCTGGGGACTGGTATGAGCGAGCGGCGGAGCCATTGTGGGACGCAGATCGGATAGAGTGCTCAGAGGCCTCTTCCAAAGCTTCCATGCGACTCCTGAATTCGATTTCTTTCTCGAGTGCTGCGTCAATCTGCGCCAGGGCGGCCTGTGCTTCTAACGGAATTGGCGAGGCTTCTCCATCTTGAGTGGCGGCGAGCTCCTCGGCATCGTGGGCCTTTGACTCGCCAACGAGAATGGAAGCTGGTGAAGGCTTCCACTCAATCTGGCGCTGAAACTGGAACTGGGTCCATTCCTTGTCGATATCTTCTTCGGAGGCCTGCTGCTCCTGCAGCGCCTCGAAGTAGGCGTCTAAGCTTCCATGCTTAAGCTTCTCGTCGAGCTTCTCGTGGTGATGCTGGGGGAGGCCAGCACTTGTCCGCTCAGCGGTGTGGAAAGCGGACTGAAGCTGGAGAGACTGAAGACGACCAAAGCGGTTGGTGTTTCGGCGCGCAAATGAAGGTCGGTTTTGTGTGTTGAGGATGGGATGTGTGGCAGCTACGACGGACTGGGCGTAACCGTGGGTGAATGACTTTGCGAATCCTTGACGGATGAAGTTCTGGTAGAGGGAGGAGTAGATGGTGGGCATTTAGAAGACGCGGCGGAGGGGGGAATTCTGTATGGCAGGATCGTCAGTCAATTTGTGGTTTCCTTTGGAGTTGTTGCTGCATAAACGGTGATCGACAAGATTTGCGCTGTGCTTTCCGCGTGTTCAGATGACACATGTTTTTTTCCCTCCTCCGTTTCTTGGAGGAAGCTACGCATTTGGGGTTGTTGGTTGTTTCGCCACAGCCTGATAAAAAAAAAACGCCGGGCGAACGGGGATAACGGCACAGGCGGCTTAGACAGTCGCCGGGGGTTATTGAGTGGTGACAACTTACATAGGGAAATATGAAGAGTCCGTTGCAGGTTCATTTGACAGCACTGTAGCCGCCAAATAAACGCGCGATCTGATTAAAGAAGGGTTATTGTATTGGGTATTGAAAAGCAAGAAGTAGGAGGGAAACAAGACGATGACGGGGAGGGGGCCTGAGGTAGAAGTATTAGTCTGAGGCGCCGATAGATTTGGTGACTACCCGTACGGATACTGCCATCCACTACTGCGTGCTCCGTACCAAATGTCTATGGTGGCCGCAAGGGAAAAAAAAAAAAGAAGTGCAGGGTATACCGATCTGTAGGGAGGTGGGAGTGGGAATGGAAAATGGGAGAGAACGGGAGCGCGTTTGAGATCGGACGGAGTCGATGAGGCGTACTACAGCCGATGGAAAGGAAGTCACTTTTCTACGGTTTACAGTGTGAATGCCGCAGCTGTGATTCTGGTAGGTACTTTGATGCCTCTGCTACCTCAGCTGAAGCTACTACGGATCGTCCACCGGCCACGGCTCTCGAATCCCTCCTTGGCCCGTCACGGCTGTCTCTTTCAGACTCTGGAAGGAATGGAGAATGGAACAGAAGGGGGGCCAGCTACGGGCACGCTAGACAAGGGCGAGTGGCAGGCCGCTGGCCAGGGGAAAGGAAGCAAGGCGAAGGCGAGGGACTTCGCATACGGAGTAGTGTAGAGTCTCACTCGCACTTGCGCGCACTGAGAAGCCTGGGGGAGAGACATACTCGAGAGAAGTTGGAAAAAAATACCACCACAAGAATATGCGCAAAAGACTGGGGAACTTGTTCGCGTGGATTCGGAGCTGGCGCATGGACTGTGCCGACCTCGTCCAGTCATGTTGCGCGCTGACGGGAGAGGTGCGGGTACGCGACGGCCAAGGGTGGATTCGGGAACTTTAATTACTAAGGCCGTTGTGGCCGTCCGGGCGAGCAGCTCCTTCCAAGTTCCAGCTCCCAAGGCTCCAATGTTCTTTCGATGACTTGTTGCTGCCATTTTCCATGGGTGGATACATTGTGGCTACTTCTTGATATTACTGACTCAGGCAGCAAACCCCGAACTGTTTGCGACCTCTGAGTGGCTGGCCACTGTCTCTAGCCTCGTTTTGCTGTGGCTCACTCCCTTGTTCACGCTTGTTGGGTTTACAGACCAAGCATTGAAAAAGCAATGCTGGTTCATATTGGAATGGGCCCTGACACTGACAGTACATCCATCCAGAAGATCTAGCTACGATACCGTGAAAAAGACTGAGAAAGGGGGATGGTCAGAAAGGCAGACACTAGGTGGCCTCAATGTCCAACTCCTCCCGAGATCTGCCCTCTTCCTCCCATTGAACTGTGCCTTGGAAGCTGACAGGTGACGACGGCGTGTAGCTTTGGAATACGGGATGAGATGAAGTCGGAGACGGGACGGATACGTCAAGTATATGCCCCCGGGGCCGACTATGCGTGTCATAGGTACGGATACTGGACTCCTGGAGGTGTTGAAGGCGTAAAAAGATACTTGTCGCAAGTTTGAAAAGCCCGTTCGGTCACAAGTTCACTTTGAGCCCCTCACCTCCCTCGGCTTTCCAAAATGGTTCCCGCAGCGAGATGACGACTCTGACCTGCCGCCTGAGGACGCAAGATTGACTGATCATCGCTGCGCATCAAAGAGGCCCAGCTATATTGGTGCTAAGAAGCGGACTAAAAGCTGCGCTGGAACGTCAACTTGACAACGCCTTGGAACGCCTGAACGCACACGACCACCAAAAACACGGGGAAATTTGGGGCTGCGTCCCAGGGGTACCTTAGGAATTGCGTAGGTACGTAGCACAGGGGGCCTCCCAGGGCTCACGAGTCCAGGCGATTGCCAAATCAGGCCGATGACTCTTTGATGTCTTCCACCCAAATAGCCCCCCTTCTGCGAGAAGAAACCGGCACCAGTGTACTGGATTGCGTGGGGCCGCTTCAAGGCTGGAGACATTTTCGAACTTTTTGACAGAAATGCATGTGGTCTATCTCCAATGTTTCCCCGGGGCTGTCCAATCGACGTGAGGTTGAACGGATAGAAGGTACGGGATACCTGCTCCTCCCCTGGCAGAGCCAATTTGGAAGGTCGTGGACGCGAATAGACGGTACCCGGGCCGTGACCAATCAGAGCCGGTGCAATGCTGGGAGAAGCCGGAAGGCGCGGGATGGTCGGGGAGTCCTTTCTGTCTCCACTCGGGAGCCACTCACCCAAGGTCAAGGAAGGACCAAGTGCTCAGTTCCGTCCTGTCGGGAAGCTGCCTCCAGCCCCGCCCATTCCATTCCGTTCCCACCCATTGCTGTGTTTCGCCCACAGAGGTACGAAGTGCCTCCATACTGGCTGGCAAGTGGCTGCACAACTCTGCGCCGTCCACACTTGCCTCCAGTTCGCTCCCCTGCTCCGGTACTTCCCCGCCGGTAGCGTCTGCTAGTCGTCCCCATTGGTGATTCACCACCAAAACGTCCATCCTCGTACGCAAATTTTTCAACACCAAATCCAGGGGCCATGATAGCTGAGGCGGACCCTTTGCTCAGCTCCCACCGTCTCCTATTTCGATGATCGTGGCTCAAGGTATCTGTCACTGGAAAGATTGGCAGAGCTGAACCAGCTTCAACTTCTGGATTTCACGCATCTTCGACCTGCTACCTACCTACGATCAGACATTGCCAACAATGCTTCCCAAGCCACAACCGTTGACTTCAGGTGAAGTGAGGGTTAATACCAAGCTATGGATCGCCTCCGCCAGCAACACGGGCAAAAGAAGAAACAACAAAACGCCAGCATCATATTCCGATCCTTTTTTCGCATTCCCAAATTCTCCTCTCATAACCCTTGGTTTGACTCCTTTTCCTGGGCTGTCTGAGACCCGGCCTGCTACGGATACATAGTTTTCTATCCCATGCCCTTGGGGCCTGTCCTTCGTCCATCCCTTGCCTCCGCGGACGAATGGCGGCGCGCCCAAACTGACAATGTAATCTGCCCCTCCAAGTCCCCGTGGACCCTTTGCTTCAAGGGTCACTTACCGCATTTCTCTGAATCTCGAACACGGCCCGGAGATGGCGATGAGATCTTCATTGCCAATTGTCTCGTCAACTGGCAGCGGGAGCCATATTGGGCCAAAAGTCAAACTGGCCTGGCGGTGTGAAGCTTCTCAGATTCCCTGTCGTTACTATGGCAGGCCGCAGACTGTTGTCAAAGTCGTACCCTAACAAACGCGACGCGTCGAGACAATATTGAAGAATCGACATGTCCCTGGAACCCCTCCTCCGCAATTAGAGAGGCACGCTTGTACTCCGTACAACCGGCAGCATTTCACAGGCCAATGGCAGACACCCTGTTAAACGTGGCCAAGCACCTGAATTTTCCGCGACTCGTAGGGGCGCCTCACAATCTTTCACATCACGAGGCCATTCCTCCACGAAAAAGAGCCGCCATCGATTCTGCGGCACGGCGCAGAGCCACAGTCTCACAGATCCTAAAACAGGATCTCGGTCAGGCACAAGCTCCCCCGCCAGACATGGATGACCATGGATGATGTGCGCTGCAAGGCGCAGGTACCTACCTACTCGCCGCCGTTTGAACCCTTTAGGCTCCGAAGGCTCGCGAACATAGGGACGTCAGACTCGGAGGAACGGGCTTCTGGTTGAGCCGGCTTACCTCCGCCGCCACGGACTGAATGAAACTTATCCCCGTGCCTCCATCATAATGCAGCAAGCATATGCTCTCTGTTTGCCGACCGCCGCCGACGGGTTAGAAATACAGTAGTGCCACTACCTATCCGGCCGATGATCCTGTTCCCGTCATTGCCCTGGTCGCGTCTGATGCCGTCACCACGGTTCGACCGGGGAATTGCGGCTTATTCATCACCCGCCCCTAATGCGCTGCAACCTGCGCCCGTCCGGGGATTTCGCCTCCGCCTGTCACCGAGATGTGTCGGCTCGGGACTTCGGTGTGGGCTGTGGAGGATCGACGCCCGTACCCAGTCCAGCGGACTCCAGCCCAGTCTTGACAAGGTGACATGTCTGGCTTCACACTTTTTCCCACGTGGGGCGCAGCCGTGCAAGTTCACAACGTGCGAGCGGGTGCCGTGCAGAAGCTAGCATCAGGGAAGACGCATGGCGCATCATTACATACGCAACATGCCGACTTGGAATCGCGATTCGTTTGCAGTTTGCTTGCACATGTCTGCTCGTCACAGGTCCACTGTGGATTTACGAAAGGTGGCTCCGAGATGGAAATCCGATCATCTCGGACTACGCGTGGCTGTTGCACGAGGCATCAGGGATGATGCAAGGCTGAGCCTGCTGCATTGAACAACATACGCAGCACCCCTAGGTTACTGACAGGTGACCAACGGAACCTGAAAATGCATATCTCATGGCGTATCTGCAGAGTAGTGATTGCCCTCGCTGGTTTGGAAAACGAAGTTGCAAGTCTGTCCTATAAATCTATTTCCACCCCTTTGATACGGCCAATTCGTTCAAGTACATGACTCCATGCCACAATCTCGAAGCTCCTGTCATTCGCCAGCATAAAGCATTTGGTATAAATCTTGGGATGTTAGCCTGCATGACGCGTACAAGTACATTATCTCGGTGATTGCTACCTTGGTAGGGTGAGTTAAACGTAGACATATCATGATTATGTTCTCCCAAACATGGGATATATTGAACCGATGATCTGTTCAGGTTATGCGAGTAATAGGTCCCCAGCATTTCGTAAATGACGCCGTATAACTATGCTGTTGTACCATGATCGGTGACATCCGAAATCCTGTTGGTATCACGTTTGCCAGTGGGGCTCTCGTGCCTGCCGCCAGCTGTTTGTGAACACTCGAGATACTGGCAAGGAAACGAGCTCCTTCCCCTACGATGTTTATCTCCAGATCAATGTCACGGGTCCATAGGGGGACTTGAGATTATCGACAATCGCAAGACTGATACCAACTTTGAGGCTCTGTCTAACATAACCTCAGTGCAATAGTGCAGATACTCATGTAATTGTGTTGTAGTATGTATATATCGTATTGTGCAGTCGAATTCTATACCGTGTCCGAGAATCTCCCTTGAAAGCCAAACCTCGTCAAACTCGATCTCTCGCGCCTGCGAAGCCGGAAAGGAACAACCACTACATATCGTAGGTGTTGTTTCCCCGGATCACCCTCTATATTCGGACCACCGAAGCCACTTGACTGCAGCGGATAGAGAAAGGTAACATTCTCATACTATCCTACCACTTTCTTGCGCCAGCAGAGTTACTATCTTTGGTCAAGAATGTTGTTCAGCGTAAGAGGTAAGGCAGAAGAACGACTAATCCGCTTTGATTCACAGGGTTATCGAGATCCCCATGATCCACCCTCATAGCCCGCGAGAATTCAGCCCACAAGAGTTCAGCCCACAAGAGTTCAGCCCACAAGAGTTTCCGAAACAAAAGGTGAAGTTATAGCGTAAAGTCTTGATCTTCTTGTTCAAGTTTGCAATTCTGTGTAAGGTAGAAAGGAGAAGAAAGGTGGCTTTCAGCCAGGGAATTACCGAGGTCCTCATCGTTCACTCTTGTAGTCCATAGGCGTTTTCGGACCAAATAGGCTGACGTAGACGTTCATGAGGATGGTAGTGGCATCACGAAGACGAAGGACACACAGCCCTCACAAGTTGGGAAGGAAAGATGAAGCGTAGGGGAAATTTTCAAGAAGTGGGATCTGCATGCTGAAACATTGATGAACCCAGTATTCGGATAGTTTGGTGGCGACATGACTTCTTCCCACACGACGAGGGTACGGTGAAGAATGCCAATGTACCATAAGTTGTTTTAAAAAGTCCGTACTGGGTGGATGGCCGTGGTGATGAGGATGAAGGATGAATGACATCCAGCCTATCTTGATCCAACTCGGGGAAAATGGCAGCCTCAGGGGTTCCAACTAAGTGAAGAGGATGATTTCGGCTTTTTGGAAGACAATGGCAAAGCTCGAACATCTATCATACTCCACAACTACTGCGCTCAAAAGATGCCATATGATGTCGGGCCTCTGTACCCGTACACCCTCTCGTGACCCTGCTGGCAATCTTCATAGCAACTTACCATAAGTCTCCTTCCAGGCTGAATGCCTCCCTTGCAACGACACTGCGTAGGCATATTGATATCATTTTCCATGCGGCAAAAGTTTGGGGAAATCATGGCTATATGAAACGAAAGAGTCCTGGGGAGGACAATGGAAGGGCAAGAAGGCGGTGGTAATCGATATTAATCTCGTACTCTATTTGAAGAAAATCACGCATACAGATATGTGTAAAGGGTGAGCAATGTTACAAACCTATTGCTCAAGAATAAATCAAACCGAGCGGAGTCAACCTC